CCCTGCAGATTAAGTACACACATTCCTATACAGGATCAGTAAGAGTGTACTATCACCTATCTCTCTTCTTCCTGCATTACTAATCACATTGGCAGCTTTGAATCTGATTGGTGATGTTGATAAACATGTTAGTACTGCCATTTTTTACATTAGGCTTTCAATGTGTGAGCGAGAAGATGTGCCAACATTTCCAGCAGATACACCATGCTCCCTGTTTGCTTCTATGCTATACTTGCAAAATATTAACATTTGAGCATACGTGCTTCAAATGATAAAAGAAAATGGAAGCTGGGTAATTTTTCAATAAATGATTGCTCTGCAAAGTATTTTGTTGGACACACCCATGAGATGTTTTGGTCTGTCATCAGCATTGTTCTTGTGAACTGTGCAGTGTGTGTATGACAATCTCTATTAAATTTAAATGACGGCCAGGAGCCAATACTTACCAGAATGTAACAGTGGCTTTGTGGTTAGCATTCTGCCTTGCAAAGCTGGGGGTGCCCCAGTCAGGATCCCAGTCAGGATACTATCTGCATGGAGTTTGCATGTTCTCCCTGTGCTAATATGGCTTTTCTCCCACACTCCAAAGACCTGCTGCTATGTTAATTGTCTCCTGCTTAAATTGGCCCTAATATGTGTGTTGGTGTATGTATGCATGTGAGATAGGGTGCCTAGATTGTAAGCTCCTAGAGGACATCGACTAATATAAATGTGCAGTATGTAAAGCGATGCATAAATTGTCAGTGCTATATAAACACCTCTAACAAAAAATAAATACATTTACTTGGCATGAAGACTTAGGGGGTTATTCACTAAAGAGCTGAAGGATCCAGCTGTATCTTTAGCTGATCCTTCGGCTCGCTTTGGCCGTCTCTGCCCTTCGGTTCAGTCGAAACGAAGGGCTGCTGTACGGGCTATTCACAATAGCCCCTCCAGTAGCCGAAGGCAGCTGAGAGGTTCAGCCGAGCCGAACGCATGTGCTTCGGCTGTGCCGTAGTGACACCCGAAGCATGGAGAACGGTCGGCAGAAGTCGATCTACGCACAAATGACAGCTGGGCGCAGTCAGCCGTGATCTCACAGCTCGCTCTGCCCAGTTGTAATGACAGATCAGCGTCCCCAAATGACCTGGGGATGCTGGTCATGGCTGCCATCCGCCCAGTTGTTATTCATTGGCCGGAACCTGCTAGAAGACTCTGGCAGGTGCCGGCCAATAGTCATCGCTAGCTCTGCCCAATTGTGTTTTATTTTCTTTAAATTATATATTTTGTTAATTTTCCTATTTTTTTTATCATTTTTAAAATAATTTTTCAACTTCTTTTAACTTCTTTTCTATTCTGCTCGCCAGCCGCCGGACACCAATGTGAGCAACACCCCCCCATCTCTGCCCCGGGGCTGTGTTTGAATGGATACTGGGCTCCCCCTTTAGGCTCAGGCCCCGGTGTGGCGGCACCGGCGGTAGTTCCGCCACTGCTCGAAGGTACCGAGCAGAATAGCCGAGCCGAATGCCACTAGGCGAGTGAGCTTCCGGAACTTCGGCTCAGCCGATCCAGATGTTGGATCGGCTGATTTGAACTCCTTCTGCACTTCAGCTCAACGCCGAAGGCAGCTGATGCATGGCTAAAATCAGCCGTACAAGACTGAAGTGAATAGCCAAACAGCATTTGGCTCACTTCACTTTGGCTCGGTTATTCACTTGGCTGCCATCGGCAGCTTTGTGAATAATCCCATTAGATTTCTATCACATATGCCATAACAACCCATACACACAGGAATAGATTTGGTGTGCAAAATGCTTAGTGGTCTTAATTTTTTCTATTGTTACCACCAATTGTTGTCTCCCACATTACCCTATAGGCTGCTCCTTACCTTGAATAACCAATTAGTTAATTTACAGGAGGGGGGAGGTCAGTCCTCAACCTTTTCCAAGGTTGGATTTGCCTATTAGGGCACCTTGGATTTGCAGCTTTGTTGAGGCTCTTCTGGGGTATATGCAAGAACCTGAGTGTGGCTGCTTGTGATGCTTCAGGACATTTTAGTTAGTTACATCTGATGACAGGTGTTTAAAAAAAAAAGACTTTAAATGAACCTAAAATATGTGCTCACTGAATATACTCTAAACATACTGTTTACATAAACCACTTCTAGTCTAAGCTTGTCTTCAAGGTCAGGGCTTCCCTTTATGATGTACTTCCCCTAACCACATACAACTGTATACATGAAAACCAGTGTTTATTCCTTGGGGCTCTAGCACCCATTCGATTCTTTTGACCTTCCCACAGTATTCTCCCACCATTACTATACAAAAGCTGCTTCCTGTATATATAACATTTTGTGCATCTGCATTTTCTTACATTGACAGTTATACACGAGGTGTTATATAGCTAAATTACTTTATTGCTGTTCTAGTAAGGTTGCCCTCCGCCCCTCCTTTGTGATAGTTTAAATGCAATGAAGCTTTGATGTTTAAAGACCGCATTAATAATGTATTGTTACCTTTCATTGATGCTCTATTAGAGGCCTCTTGTGTTGGGCTGTTATTTGAAGTGGTAATACATCATTAAAAGTCAATCTGTCCAACAGACATATCTAGGGATTACTCTAAAGGTGTGTGGGATGTGGATTCACAACCAAACAAGCAAACTGAGTACTTAAACTTGTTGAAAGCAGATGTAAAATGTCTTCTACAAGTGGAAAAGTAGACATATTTCTGTAATAAAACCAGCAATTATTTTGTATGTACAGTGATCTAGAGAAAGAGGATTGCAGATGGCATTTTCTAATATACTTGATAATTATAAATTATGACTTTGGTGGAAATTCCAATAGGGAAAATGCAAAAGTTCTGTTTTTTTTTAGCTTCAACAAGTTTTAGTCTTCATGATGATTTCCAGTAGCTAACCTTAGCAATCGTTTGGGTAAGCAAGTTAGTGTGCTTCCCGAAATGATTAATTGGATATGATATAGATCTGTTCTTACTATTTATCTTGCTGAATGTCACACATCAGTTAGACAGAAAATAGGACTAATTCGTGTGGAATATTATTGTCACATTGAAGACAGTCTGTAAAGTTCCACATGCAGTACATTGTCAGTGCTAGTAAAAGAAGACTTGCTTTATTCATGTGTCATAATTTTATAGTTAATTCATTCCTTGGTTGCAGTTCTCCTTAATGGACAGCAGTGCAAAAGATGAGTATGCCCTTGGGACCTATTCTCTATCATTTTACTGTCCTTTTCCCCTTCTCTCACCCTCCATCCTTCTCTTTACTTTTTCAACCTTCTTGCCAGTACTGTTTCCCTTACATTGTGCTCCCCACTACCAATTTTTATCCTGCCTGAACAGGCTGAGACTTATTAGATTGGACAGGAACCCTACTCTGAAAGCCAGTAATGATCAGTCTGAAGATAAAATTAGTGTTTTTGGCAGTGGGTGATTGTCGTGGTGGCAAAACATGCAATGATGGGCTGTTTGGGAAAAAGTACCACGGCAGTACTGGCTCGTCAAGTAATAGACTTACTATAATTTATCGAAAAACTTGCACTCTAGTAACCGCACAGAAGGAATTGATGCCCAAACTCACCTTCAGTGATTCTTGTCTACAGTCACTTTTGCCTCTACAATCACAATTTTCTTGTCATTTTCTCATGTTTTGTGGTACCCAAGTAACAAACACTAACTACAATGCCTGTGCCTAGCCAATATGCTTTCTGAATCCAGCACTGATTTATAGTTTCAAATTCTAAATGGAATATGTGGGTTGAATATCTTAGATGACAGCTTATCTAAATGGACAACATTGATGTAGAAATACCTAGCTCAATCCTTACAAGCAGTGGAACTAAAAGTTACGACTTGGTAAGGTTCATTTGTGTAGGGGTCAACTACTTAGCAATAATGAGCCTTTCTAACCCTCAGATACAAAGAGAGATTTTTCAGCTTGTATGAAAATATGTTTGTGAGCTGGTGTCATCCATTCCCTTCCTAGGAAAAAATTGAATATGGTGTTCAGTGTGGGGGTGCTATACCTACTGATCAACTGAACGGGAAAAAAAGATTGTTGTGGTTTCTGGTAACAAGAAGATGTACAGATATTTCACCTTACATTAACCTCTATAATACATATATCTGAGAATGCTATTTAAACTGAAGTGAGGAAAAGGTTCCCCAAAGGAGGGGTCAGTGTGGGTGCGGGGTGATAATTGGTGTAACAGTAGCAACAGTAGAGGTGGCTAATGTGGTAATGCAATTTTAGAGAGGAACAGCCCTTTAAGACTACCAAGTTGGTTGGTTTCTGGTTACCAGTTTTCTACCATCTGTCACAGGACTCCATCTCCTTATAGAAATATACAAAATAAATGCTGAAATTATAGATATAGTTGCCATGGGCAGATAAGAGTCAGGAGGCTACCCCAAAACATGTGGCTTTGTTGTGAAGTGTGGCAGCTATGGAAAAAAGATTAATGATTTTTTTACACCAGCCCTTTAGCTGGATATTGCTCCCATTTGGGATATTGCTCCCATCCTAAACATGTCTCATCCAGGACTGAAACTGAGACCCACCAGGGAAGTAATCTTGAGGTGCATTGGCACATGTGTATAGAAGGGCACTGCACCTGCCCACACTATGCCTGGCTCAGTCTCATGAAGGGAACATAATCCCGCAGTATGCAGAGGTGCAAAGTCTTTTTGGTTCAATATGTTCATCAGCAGGTGTTCTGACAGGAAAACCTAATCCAGCATATTAAACTCCAGCTGACATTATGGAGAAGTCAGAAACAGCACTTCATAAGACAAACTCAAACAGGAACAGTTGTATGGAGTAGGGGGACCTGATAAAAATCAACACGTGCATGCATCACTGTACATTGATGTAATTAAGCTCTGCTTTTCCATCTTCTACTAAAAGTGTTTATAACGATAATGATTATGTCATGAAATGAGCCATGTAATGTAAGTGCCGCACTTAATAAAATGTTTTCCTGCTGTGTTTCTGTACAGAAACTGAAATCTCATCTACCAAGACTTCGAGAGACAAGAGATACGAGTGTGAAGTGCATATGTCCACCTGGTAAGTGATTTTTGTTTAATGTTATGTTAATCTGATTATTTGCCTTAAAACATACAGTATAGCCTCTTGAAAGTACCCGGATTTAGGGTGGAAATACACAGACTGATAAATGTAACCAATTAGAGCATCACTTCCAATGGCTAGGCCATGGAAGAGTTAAGAACAGAATGATAAGAAGTGCTGGCTGCTGCATGCAGATATTTTTTGCAAGAGAACATTCTAACAGCATGTGTGCTTTATCCATTTGTTGGCCAGGTCAGGGATAAAGTTGCAGAAATCCTAATACACACAGTTCAAGGGAGCATGTACTGATAGCTAATGTCTGCTATTGTCAGTGACAGATTTGTGCAACCAAGACCACCCTGGGCATTCATATGTACTATACTAGTGGCCAATGAAGTGTTAGCACTGTTGCATGGGAAATGTGCCTAGGTCTATGCAGATAGAGGCCGCTCCCTTGGTCACCAGTGTACCGACTGTGCAACAGAGGAATAGAAGCACACTGGTAAGGTCATCCCTGTGTTTGCCCCCTCCTAGCAGCCCAGAGTCTGCAGGAGATTATGGGAACCAAATATAAATACAGACTGCAATGGTATTCGTAGCAGTTTGCAGTATTTAAAATACCTTTTCTGTTTTTTTGGGGGGTTGTTTTGGTAATACAAAACTAATTTAAATTATTTCTTTTTATATTTACCTAGTATATACCTAGAGTTCAGTTCACAGCATTTGCAAATTACCCACCAGTGCAGAAAACTTTTAAATACTATGTAATTGTTTCAGCAGCTTACACTGCAGCTTCTCCATTCATGTCATAAGATCTATAGCTATAGGACCATACCTGAAAATAATATAGCACACTTAGTTCCTTGGAACACACAAATCTTGGAGATACTGAAGAACTAAATCTTATGGAAATGTTCCTGGTAATAGCAGTGTCACTTAACACACAGTTTGTGTTTGTAGTTGAACTTTGACCCCAGCAAAATCTCAGTGGTAATCAAGGTCATTTACCACTGACCTGACCTCTGTCTCTTAATATTCATCAAAACCAGGTCCTTTAGAAAATGATTTCAATGCAATGATACCATGTGTTGCTCGATACTGTTTTTTGACCTTTTGTGCATGCTTTGTTCTTTTTTACCATCACTGACAAAGTCTGAGTTTTTGTCTTCGTTTGTGCTCTATTACTTTTTCCAAAGTTTGTTGAAGATGCTTAAATCATTGGTTCCCAGCACTTTTTATTTGCCACTCATATGATATGCACATCACCAATTTGGAATTGATTTAATAATGTAATACAAGTTCTACTGTGCATAAAACTATAAAACATAACATGCAGCTATCAGACTGGACAGTTATTTATATGTCCTCCTTTCTTTAGAAGTGTTCAGAGCCTCTGATTTTGTAAGAAACATACAAGCTTATTATTAAGGCAGTGCAAAGAGCAGTAATCGTTAGCATTTAATGTTTAATTACTGTTGTCAGATCCTTAAAGATGCAATCTGATTGCTTCCAATAGCCAATTGCACTATGATTGCACTGCTTTATTACAGACGCTTCATAGTTTATACCCTGTGATATGTTTACATTGTTTTCAAATGCTTTGCAATGTGCAGCCCAGTGCTTTCTGTGTTGTGTCTATTTTGTCTTCTAAAAAAAGAGAAATAAATGTACTGGAAGCATACTGTTTTTTGACATCGTAACCTACTTCCTCATGCAGAATCTAGATAATCTTAGCTCCAGGGTCTTCCAGGTTATATAGTGGAGTGCATATATTTATATAGTTGCTTCAGGATTTTTTTAACCTTGAATCTGGTGATTGTTTTCTGGCTGACGGTTTACAGAACAGAATAAACATACAATATACACTTCTTTTTACATTTTGCTGATATAACAACAATACCAGACCATTAAGTGCTCTTTTTAACCAATCCTTTTAAGCCATATGCAGTGCCATCCCTATAATGAAGTAGCCCAAGGCGGTTGCCTCAGACAGCATCTCATTGGGGGTAGCCGGGTGGTGGTGGGTCAGCAGGGGAGCAACACAACGTCCCAGATTGCTAAGAGCTCTTAGCAACCTGTGATGCTCTGTGCGGCTTCCAGCACAACTCACTGACGCTCTGGCTTGCGTCTCGCCTAGCTCCTGGCAACTGGGTAACGTCAGTCAACTGGGCGTGGGACACTGGACAGCTGACAGCTCAGAGCACACTCACATCTTACTCTTCCTCCTTCATCCACTTCTGATCTTCTGTTACATCTGATGTATACATATTATATGTACTACTAAACTATCAAATGTGTTCTTTATGGTAAAGCTCATTTGACACATGATTGTATAGCATATTATAAAGGGAAAAGAGTGATGTAATCTACAGCAGCTGGTCAAATGGACAACTTTGTGTTTTTCAAAGGAATTGTAGCTTTATTGCAATATTTTTGTTTCTGCTTTTTATTTGTTATGACACTGTGAACATTTTAGGTCAGGAAGAGGTGGGTGTAGCAGAATAATTGTAATTAAGAGTTTTAATTTCCCTGAAATTTCAAAATAAAGTAGGAAAGTACGAAACTTAACCATTTGGCCAACATGTATTGGAGTCAACGGGCAAGTCAAAATCAAAGTGATTTTTGTGTTTCTTTTTTCTCTTTAAATGGCTTCTGAGGGTTACGTGAACTCCTTTCAACTATCTTAGATCTGTTCTTTTGCCAAAAATAGCCATTATTAGCCTCATTATTTTACCTTTTTCACATTCATTTGAATGAAAGTAAAATAAACATTAAAAGTGACAGGACACAAATAGCATTAAAATACATGCACAAAAAAGAAGACAATACAATTACATACAAACTCTACATAGTCCATCTACCATCTAAATAAATAAAAAAAGTGGTTGGGCTTTATATTTAGGCAAATTGAGTAAAATGTAACTTTGGTGAAATTTTGCCAACAGTAAAATCTGTAGTGTTGCAGCAAAATAAATTTCGATAAAATCTCTTTGCACATCCCTAAATGTGTTTTTGATAAAATATGTTGTAAAGCGATACTGTCACTTTAAAGAAAGCAAGTTATAGGCAAAATGTAGACAATTAGAAGTTCATGTACGCAACTGCAGGGACTTTCAGTGCCACTGCTCTACCTAAATTCCAGGCAGTTCTGGTCTGGCAAAGTTCCAACGCTTTCTAGCAATGTTGGGGCTTGCCCATTCTCCACCCCCACACATTCCCATTGGCCCATCACTATAATTACCTCACTGACCATAGAAAATGTATGTTAGGTGAGTAAGTTGGCTGTTACAACTCTCATGGCTATCATGGGAAGATGATACCTGCAACTCAGGCTTCAGATAAGAGTCCTGAGGAAGATGGCTTATTTAGCCTAAACTTTACCTGCTCTACAGCAATAACCTTTATTTTTCGGTGCTGTGGCCCCACTTCTATAATTTTTGTCCCCTACAATTGTTATCATGGAAGCTTATAGCAATTCACTTCTGTATTTATGTCTGTCAGCCTATAAATCATGGTTAGAACCATCAGTAATCAAGCCTTTTCCACAACTGCCAACTTCTGTAGGACAGTAAAGGATGAATGACTCCTCTGATCCCATGGTAAATATTTCAATGTTGGGTAGAAGCTGGAGAGTTAAAGCAGAACTACATTTTTTAATATATGTGTCCCCTTCCTGTAATAAAACAAAATGCAGAGTTCTACTCAATCTCTTTAGCTCTGTCCCCAGTCTTCTTCTTGGTGCAGCACCACCAGTCCTCTTCAGGCAGATCGAGTCAGTATCATTCTGCCCATTTCCTGTTAGGCTAACCTGTCGTTCACACACCCCCCGGGGGTGTGTCATTGTGGAGGCTGGGCTCACAACAATGTAATTACACGAGTGCCACATAGTCCAGAATAAATGTTCAACCGCGCCACCCTTGAGAAAGAAAAGAAAGCTATTGTGTCACCACCAGAGTGGCAAGGAGACTGCTGAGAAAAGGTATGTATAGGATTGTATTCTCTTGTGGGGGAGGACTTCAGGTAGAGTCGGGGGCAGTAAAAAGGAAAACATTTTTATTTCTCTTGATGACTCTTTCAACTAAAGATTGGCACCTGAGTTGTAGGCTCTGCATTCTTGCTCTGGCCATTATGAAGGGTTCCCACATTCCCTTTTGGATTTTTTTCATTTATTTTATACTATGAATAATTGAGCTGGAGAAGCTGGTTCACGTAAAGATGGATGGGAACACTCAGATGGCCAGGAAGAGAGTTGGGAATTCTGGCAGGAAGGTCTCACTACTGGAGAATCTAATTTATAAGAAGGCTGCAGCTAATTTATAAGAAGCCTGTTGCTGACTCAACTTACCAGATCCCACTTATAAGTAAAATATTACTGTTGGGTGAATCAGTTAATTCAAAATGTAATTGTATCTTTACCCAAATGTTTTTCTTTCTGCAGCAGTCAGTTGTGTCAGGCTGTCATGGCTCTGAACCCTCAGGCACTCTTTCATGCTATATGCTAGTTTGCTTTCAGATGTACAGCAGCACATCAATTTCTAAAGAACAACACCTGAGAAAATATTTACTACTCTTTTCAAGAAGTTTTTAGCAACTCCAATAAATGTATTATTACATATTTTAATGTTACAGTAATAATTTTGCCCTCCCCTCCACTTCCACATTTATCAGTGCATATAGAGATTGGCATGCACAATACTTCTATTTAAATGCACATATTTCTTGAAATTACAGTACTTGTGCTTTAGATAAATGCATTTCTATGCATGAGGAGAATACAAAGCTTAAGATGATGCTAATTTCCTTGGTTCAGTGTAGTTAATGCCTCACAATGTTGTCAAATGGGCTGTCTGGTTTTTCAGGATCCAATCTATATTTTACTCTTTGGAAAATATACTGCACAGATGTAGTCTACTTTGGCAAAGCACTGTTAAATGTGTTGGTTCTATATTACTGAATAAAAATAAACATACTCCATTTATGCACTGGTTTTAGCATTA